AGAGAGAGAGAGCACAACAGCAACCTTTTCCTTTCAGATGACCATTGTGTGTAAACTATACTGTCGGTCAGCAAGATACGAAGACATATGGCTTTTTTGGGTGTCAGGCACTGGGTTGGCTGCTTCTCCATTGCATGTCGTGAGCTCCATGTCTTGTAGTTCTATCAGGCTGGGGGTCTGATTTGAAAAGTACAATAACAAATATAATCAAAAGACAGCTTTTAGCGCATTCCATTAGCAACAAGCTCTCATGCTCCTAAATACGAACTATTCTGCATACAAGCCCGTCATGGCAGAGCCTTTTAATTTTCTGCCATTTAAATAATGAAGAATTGTGATTAAATTGTCTGCGGCGCGCATCTCTCTCCCGGAGCAGGTCGAAGATTCTGCGCTTAAATGTGAACCTGCCAGGCATTCTACAGAGCTGAGATATTATGTGACGGGAGGTTAAAATGTATATTTATCGGAAAAGGCCCTGGGCAGCCTATGCTGTTTCCATGGTAACTGCAGGAACCGGCGATTAAAGGGGAACAAATTAATGTTGGGAGAGATAAATAGAAGGAGTCATTACAACTGGGATTATAGCTACAGTACATTTCAGCATGTCAAGGTGTTTCAGTTCTGTTCTATCAATCTATCTATCTATCTATCTATCTATCTATCTATCTATCTATCTATCTATCTATCTATCTATCTCTGCATCTATATCTTTGTAGTCTCTGTATCTCTCTCTCTCTCCCTCTCTCTCTCGTCCAGATAGGTATTCATTAGAAAAAAAAAATCACATTTATTTAGAAATAATATACCTGTATGAATTTTTTTTACATTATTTTCCACTATCCTCTACACAGTGGAAATCAGGCTGAAAGGTGCAAAGGGGTGTGTTATTCACAAGAATAGTTAACAGAGAAAAAATATTTTGGCAGGTAAAGTAGTTCACATGTATGGGTTTTATCTGTATGTTTAGGTGTTTGGTGGGTGTTCCACTTTAATCTGTTATGAAATCTATTGTAGCCATATTCCTGCCATCTTCTAGGCATCTTCAGGTTCCAGTCACAGGACTGAGCCCTGAACAGCCTCCCTTCCCTGTCAGAGACACAGGAAACCAATGTTTTATTAATATATAATAAAACTTTCTGCTAAAGAATGGGCATATATCGACAGCTTACTATACACAGATACGAAGGCTCCATTGTTTCAATACAAGCTTTATTCTTTAAATGAACACTCTACTGAGGCAGAATGTAAGCTGCCATTGCTGCAGCCGGGAGTTCCCATTTAAATCCTATAACATTCATCATGTGATCAGTTCCACCTAAAACATATATATAGTATAGTGTATACAAACGTGCAAATGGTGGCCGTCAGCGACTAGTCCATGTTAGGGCAGAACGGAGAGTGCCAAGACTGGTACAAGCCAACAGAAGGGCAACAGTGCAGTGTTAGATTCCTTGCATCACACTTCAACATCCCATGGAGTCACGAGGCGGCCCAACAAAGTAATCTCGTGGAGTCATCTCGTGGCCCCCAGTACTGATGTGGTGGTCATAATAATTTGGCCACTCAGTGTATAGTCCTTATTTAGGATAAACTAACAATTGGCTTCTTGGGTTCAGGATGAAAGCGAGGACACATAATTCCTTCTGTTTTAAAATAAATGAATGCCAGTCAAATATTTTTTGTTTGTTTAATATTGAGGAAGAAAAGGTTAGAACTTGGGATGAACCGATAGCGTTTTTTCGGTATCGAGTACGAGTCCCGATATATATATCTTTACTGGTACTTACCGGTACTTCCGCTAAGCCGGCTCCATGCTGACTGGCCGCCTCGATGCTGACTGGCCGCCTCGATGCTGACTGGCCGGGAAGCCGGCTCACTGTTAAAGGCTGCTTCCCAGCCAATCAGCTTGGAGCCAGCTTCCAGGCTAATCAGGAAGCCAGGAGGCGGGTCATTACTGATTGGCCGGGAAGCCGACTCCATGCTGTTTGGCCTGCTTGATGCTGATTGGCCGGAAAACCAGCTTCCCAGTCAATCAGCATGGAGCCGGCTTCCCGGCCAATCAGAAAGCCGGAAGGCGGGTCATTACTGATTGGCCGGGAAGCCGGCTCCATGCTGATTGGCTGGGAAGCAGGCTAAATCTCCCTCTGACCGGAATTTTTCAGTATTGGGCGTAAGTATCAGAGCATTTGGGCGAGTACGAGTACTCCCCCAAATACTCGGTATTGGCACCGATACCAATACTGGTATCGCCATCGATGCATCACTAGTTAGAACCTTTGTCAGCATTTATTTGCTGTCTTTGAGTGCCCGGGGTCTCCGTTGAGATGATAGATTTTATGCAGTGTTGGCACATTGGGATCTAGTTATAAAAAATCTGCAGGGCCATTCACCTTGCGAATCTCTGTGAACAGTCATTCTGTGCAAATAGAGCCAAAAAGAAATGTTCTTAGTATATTTTCTTTTCAGGTTCAATGCAACATTTGGAAAGTACAGCAATATACCACTAGATGGAGCTGAGGAGCAGAGGAATTAAATACTTATTTTTAGGGATGTCATGATACCATTTTTTTCAAGACCAAGTACAACTACAACTACAAGTACCTGAGGTACTTGCCGATACCAATTGCCAATTATTTTTCTTAAAGGGACATGTGCCATTTTTCTACAACAATACAGACTAATGATTTTAGGGCGGTTTTTCTCCAGGCTGTGTTTGGGTCACACCAGGGCTGCATTTGCGTCTCACCCGGCTGCGTACAGTTGTCACCAGGGCTGCATTTGCATCTCACCAGGGCAGTGTACAGATGTCACCAGGCTGTGTTTGCATCTCACCAGGGGAGTTTACAGATGTCACCAGGCTGCATTTGTATGTCACCCGGGGGAGTGTACAGATGTCACCAGGCTGCATGTGGGGCTCAGTAGGCTGGCACCGGGCTGAGTGATCGGGTGCCGGCCTGAACGATTGGGTGCTGGTCTTCTGCCAGCTCAGGGGCTGTTTGTTCGGTGCAGGGCTGTCCTTGGCTGTGCCTGCGCCGGGAAGAAGGAGAAGGAGATATGGGGCCGGAGAGACACTACCAAGGACAGGTACCTCCAGGTCCCCAGTAGGCTGCTGAGGACCCCACAAGTGCGGATCCTCGGCAGCCAATCTGTTTTAAAAATATAAAGAGCCGGTTATCGGCCTTTAGTATTGGAACATTTTTAGGAGTACAAGGACTAGTTTTGGGACATCCCTACTTATTTTCTATGCTCCTCAGCTTTATCTAGTGCTGTGTTTTCCCAAAGTTACATTTGACCTGAAAAGATAATATACCAAGAACATACTGTTTTTACCTCTTTTCACATAGAATAGATGTTTACAGTGATTTGCAGGGTGCATGGTGCGGCACATTGTTTATAAGTTGTTCAGTTAAAAATGTTTCTGTGTGTCCAGAGGTGCACTTGGCCTATTAGAACCCTAGAAACACCCCTGCTCTAGGGCATGTTATAGTGTGAACAAGCCCTTAACTGGCATCATGCAGACTACAACGTGCTTCTGATCCAATCAACAGGGATCTCACAACATGAATATCAAGTGCGTGGGCAACTCAACGCCTATTGCTTTACAACAGATATCGCCAGGTCTTGTCAGGAACATTTTCTTTAGTTCACCGATGAGGCTCTGTTATTTTTTCCATTCTGAAAGACAGCGTGAAATTGGCACATCCTGCAGTTTGCTTGTCTATTAGAGCTGCCTCATCGTCTGGCTGGTCTATATGTGATGGCAGAAGGGAGGGGGGAATCTTTTATACGTGAGCTCCTGTGTTCCCATAGCTGTGCGCTCAGCCCCTGCGGACCTGTTCCAAGACCTTCTGCCTGACACCTTGCCCCCCATCTCCCTTATTAATATAGACGGTGCAACTGGAAACCCTGGAGACATAATTACCATTGTTATTTCAGCGGCAGTTCTCGCCGTCCCTCCATCATTGCAGCTTCTTCTCCTATCAGAGAGCTGACTGAAGCTTCGGGTGGGCCGGGCTCACTCACAGGCCCCCGCTGTTTTAAAGCATACATTTATTTTCTGGCCGGCAATACATGAAAGACAAAACAAGAAGAGGGCCTGGAGGGGCTGTTCCGTTTTGTCCTGAAGTTTTTGTTTTGTTTCAGGTGTGTTTACAATCTCAACAAGACTTTTGCTTTGTGATTGCCACTCTGTGCTGTTATTGCATGTTCGCCGTTTGTCCTATCTGACCTCACATAATGGCCTCTCTGGAGGTGGCGCCAGAATCTGCATAAGCTTGCAGTAAAACGCTGAAAAAAAGAAAGCTCATTACAAGCAAGAGTTTTCAGAATTCCATTTTTGTATGCCTGAAGAACTCCAGGAATTATAAACAAGGTACCCTTGCACTAGGGCTGCCCCCACATTGGAAGGGTTAAGTGCTTGTTTTGTCTGGGGGGCTCAAATAAAGCAGATATGCTCACCTGATCCTCAGTCCTATGGCAGTCAGTGCTCACCTCTCTTCCCCCCTGGCTGTGGAATGTCCCTTGGTGTCTTTACATCTAATGCAACTTTATAGACCTACATCAGAAGTGATTATGTTGGCGGTCCTCAGACCACCAGAGCCGGGTAGCCGCACTGCAAGGGTAAGTTTTTTAAATTCCTGGAGATCCTCTTTAAAAAAAAAAGGCAAACTGACCACCCTCTATTTTTTGTATGCCCGATTAAAAAAGGCAAACTCAGCACCTTTGCCAAAATGACCAGAAACACGTGATTATTGAATGCCACATGTCAGATGGCATACAGGGAACAAATTCGTGTGGAGAAAGGCGAGCTGATCATTGTGACAGCTGTCGATCGCGATCTACCAGCCGATCACGTAGCGATCACTGGTAGATCGCGATGTCCTCTCCTCCCGCCCGTGGGGCTTTTCTGGATCCCCGCCGCTCTCCCCATCTGTATGCAACGGGGATCCGAGAAGAAGTGAATGAACCGCTGCAGCCGGCGGCAGGGGAGGGTGGAGTAGGGAGCCGCTGTCACAGATCTAAGGCCGAGCGGTAGGAGAGAGAGAAACGCTCTGCCAGGATCTGACAGCCGGCGCCTCTCTCTCTACTCACCGCTCGGTCATAGTTCTGTGACAGCGAGGATCCAGAGGAGAAGCTGAGCCCCCGTGTGTGTGGCCGAGCGGGAGAGGATCGGTACATTTCAGTGATATGTACCAATCCTCTCTGCAGGACAAACACTGGAGCGATCAGCTGATCACTCTGTCCCCAGTTATGAATGAACAGGATGTGATTTACATCACTTCCTGTTCATTCATGAGTTTCTCAATGGGGAGAAGCACTCTGTACAAAGGCTCCTCCCCATTCAGAAACTGGATGGTAGTAAAATATTTTCTGAATGAATGGGAAGCCTCTGTGCTTTCCATTCATTTAGAACAGAGGCGCTTTGTGTGAGGACTTTGTGTCCTCAATTTCTTTTTCTATTTTAAAAGGGAGATATCAGGGGGCTGTTTAGACCCCTAATATTTCCACCAAGAGTAAAAATAAAAAATGTAATAAAAAATAAGAAATAATAGAAAATATTCTTGCCTCGGGCGCAAAAGCAGCTGGCTACGGCTATGCTCCCGCGGTGCTCGTGCGGCTGCCGGCTAAATGTGTCAGACGCTGCAGATGGAAAGGGGCAGGACACCTATACACCTCTCCCCATGTGCAACGTCGGCCACACGAGCACCACGGGAGGACAGGACACCGGGGCCTGTAGGACACACTGGAATGTAAGCCGGCTGACTCCCTGCGTTCAGGGGCGGGAGGGGGTGTGGGGTTGTATTGAAGTCGATGGCACCGCAGCCGTGCCCCCCGCCCACAGTGCGATCGCCCGCAACACCTGCACATTAGTGCTCGCAGCATTTTTGTGGATCGCACTGGACTGGAACGCAGGCACTGATGTGCCTGGGTTCCGGGTGCAGGTGATCGCATTGTGGGCGAGGGGCCTGCCTGCGGTGCCTGGCTGCGGTGCCATTGACTTCTATGCACCGCCACTCCCCCTCCCGCCCCTGAATGCAGGTGTTTTTTCGTGGGTAGATCTCATTGAGCTCGTCATTTGAAAAGTAGATCTCCAGCTTTGTCATTCTGTGTTTTGTTCCAAAGATCTCCACCATCCATTCACTGTTTATAAACGCTCTACTTATCTGTATTTGTATACAAATCCACCAGGTAAAATACAGAGTTTTATAATGTATGTAAACCTTAAATCTATTTTTCAGTTTGGCTTTATGTCCCACTATATACGATACCCTTGATAAACATGAAATTTAACATTTTCAATCAAATAATTTTGTTTTTAAAGAAATACTTATTTTGAGGCAAAGTGACATTATCATTGAGTCTGTCTGCTGCTTTTTGTTCTCAGTACGGTGCTAGGGGCTACAAGGCTCCTTTAAACATCATAGCATTTTGCCCCAGATTATTTAAAAATATAAATATAGTATATACTGGTTGCAGGAAAAGGAATGCCAGGGATGTGTACATTCATATAAAGCTTGGGAACAAAATGAATGATTGCAGAGAAATCTAATAGCTGTAAGAGGGGGGGAGGCAATGACAATATGGATGAAGGCGAGAATTGATTGATAAATGATAAATGGTGACAGGAAATGAAGGCAGGCTCAAGATAGCTGCTGCAGCTTCAAAAGGTTATTTTGTGGAGATGCAAGATTATGGGGAACTGGGAGTGTTCAATTTAAAAAAAAGGAGAGGACTTGCTACAAGTGTGGGAAAAAAGTAAGGCCGCTGCCCCACAAAACTTAGGGTTTACAATAAATACACTTTACGAAGTCATCCACTTTAAACTGTAGATTGTAAATGTTTCATTGGGTTCTAAATGCATTATCCACAAAGAAAACAGCTTTATTTGAACCCCCTAGACAAAATGATCACTGAACCCATTGCTGTCGCTATCTTGATTCCCCCAATATATTTTGTGAAATATATTTTAATAGAAAGAGATACATAGAGACAGAGAGGAAGGAATTAGAAAGAGAGTGAAAAAGAGAGGTGGGGTCGGAGAGAAGGAGAGAGAGAAAATACAGAGAAAAGAAAAAAGAGATGAAAGAAAAAGACATTGAGAAGGTGAGAGAGAAAATGTGGGGGAAAGTGTGGGCGACACTGTTTCAGAGTAATATTCAAAGGTGTTGTTGAATAATTATGAAGAGATAATGACCCCGGTTTGATCTGTGGTGTCATTGTCACCCCGCTGATAGGAGACTGGGAGCTTCCTCACAGCTAATTAATTAGTTCTGATAATGCCTTTAGTTCTGTGTCAACCTTGTAAGCAGACGGTGTGCAAACGTACACCCGGCGGGTTCCCACCCCCTGCACATCTGGCCTTCCCACAACGCTGCAGGAATGCTTATGAAGTCAGGCCAGACAGAAGCTTCAAAAGATTCTTAATAATGATGATGCAAGATCTATAATGATGAAAGCAATATCGATTTTTGAGAATTGGCCAGAGCATTGGGTCAGCAGTATGAAAGTTCAGGCTAGCTGGGTGGGTTTAATAAAGAGAAGGTGCAAAGTTTCCATTGTTAGTTGACAATCCAAGGCAGAGGTGCTAATCACCAAGCCACAGTAACCACAGATTCAGCTAAGTAAATGGGACATTTTTTTTTTCTAATTGGGAAATTAGCAAGTGGGGTCATGTGTGTGTGTAGTAGGTGAAGATTTGTGGAGGTTAGGCGGCAGGCCAGAGTTCATAGAAGCAATTGAAATCCCTTCACACAACCAATTAACACTTATATTGCTTGTAGAGTTTTACAAACATGTAGGCAAAATAATCTACACTGTATTTATAATTTTATACTTTATTCTCTGTGCCCCGTGCCCGGTTTAGAACTTGCCCTCTGCTGATCTAAGGGGAATACATTTTTATTCCGGGTGTTTATAGTGCGGTCATACATGTTGATGCCATCAAATCACTTTCAGTTGCACGTGTCTGCCAGTGAGGCTACCAACAAACATTTCTGTTATATTTCTATGAGGGGCATTTCTGGTATCATTTATTATGGAAGAGGACATTAGTGGTGGTAAAATAATTTTTAACGCACCCAGACAATTGTACCATCTCATTTTGGACCAGTCAGCAGCATCCACGGATGCTGCTGGCTGGCCAAAGGGGGGCAGGGTCCACGGATTTTTTTTTTAGACTACTATCATCTCCTATTTATGCATAGCCTTACTCTAACTGAATGCCAAAGCCCAGAAAAGTAAGACAAATTAGAAGTGTAGTATGATGGACCAGGACACTTGCTGGCTTCTTAGATCCCTTGAGGATTCCAGCAGTTAGATTACCCCTCCCTTGTCTCCAGTGCTGTAAAAGTTTATCTATAGGCACATTTGTTTCGGGAAATTTCCCTTTACTTCCTGTCCCAGATGTGCAAAAGGAAGGGAACGGAAATCTCCTAAAGTGAGGAAAATACGCCTCTTAGGCAGTTGTCTCCTGAACCGATTTCCCCTTACCGCACCATGAAATCAGCAGAACTCACCCCTAGTAAATGCTTTGCTCCCTGTGCACGGTGCACGGATATCCTTTCATCTTGAGGAAGCCATATAAACAAATTACCACCACACGTAGATCCTCAAAACTTTGTTTTATTCTTTGTGCATCAATACATAGGCCACTTAAGGTAGAAGCGTATGAGCAGTTGCCTATTTATTGATGCGCAAGAATAAAAGGAAGTTTCAAGGATCTAGGAGCTCCTGTTATTGGTTCACTGCCTAGCCCAGAAGCTGGCACAGAGCTTAAAGGAGAACTATGAGGTGAGTGATTTTCACTCAACCTCATAGTTCAAGCCGACCTGTGACAATGAAACTGCCCCATGTCGGCTCAATAGATCGGGAAGTGAGCGAACACATACCGTCACTCGCTCACTTCTCGAGTGACTGTAACTCACGGCTCCCTGCAGGGATTCCTTCTCCCCGCTCCGATCCTCAAGCGATGACTGGCGGAGCGGATGGGTGAGGGGGCAGGTACAGCTGGCTCTGCCTCTAGATAGGCAGAGCCAGCTGTCAATCACGCAGATAGGTGAATCTCGACAGTAATGTCGGGATCCGTCCCGGGATATATCGATATCGAAAGTTCCAACTTATCAATTTCTCCAACTGCCTGAATTCCGGTTTAGCTAGAACTAAGAGGTTTAGCCTAGAAAGCTCTTCTGCACAGGCGCCAGGCGCGGCATTGCCCTATACACATACACCACAGCAATGAAGTATTAAAATTAACTAGGATAACACTAACCCAGCACGTTATTAATCCCGGGTGCCCCACTCAATATGGCTGCCTCGAGTGGGGCACGTGAGATTAATAACGTGCTGGATTAGTGTCATCCTAGTTAATTTTAATACTTCATTGCTGTGGTGTATGTGTATAGGCAATGTTGCGGCTGATGCTCGTGCAGAAGAGCTTTCTCGGTCAAACCTCTTAGTTCTAACTAAACCAGAAGTCAGGCAGTTGGAGGACTCGAGAACTCGAGGAGTTGGAACTTGCGATAGAACACCAGCTGCAGCGGTCTCGGTATACCGCGAGCTGTAGCTCGTGGTATACTGAGCTTTGGGTCATGGGAGGACGCTAGTTTGTGTCCTCCCATGACCCTTAGGAGAACTATGGGGAAAAACACTGACCCCATAGTTCTCCTTTAAGGTGAAAAACAGACCTTCCACTGAATGGAACATGGAATCCCATGGTAATATGCTATGGCTTACTACACTGGCAGTCTCCTGTTTCATGATGGTACATGCATGGAAGGGATGCAGTGTTTCTTATTGCAACACTAGGACTGATCATATGATTATACTAAAGATAGAACCTCCCATGATTTTAAAAGATTTCAGCATGTACTGAAATTACCTGTTTCAATATCTACAATTTAGATGCAGGTAAGGGTCTGAAAATACAGTTTGATGCAATCTTCACAGAATACAATGCTGATCTGAAAGGGATTAGTTTAAAATAAATTCAGAGCAAATGAATCCTGGCTCTGCATATTGCGACAGAAGCAAAACGACCCTCCAGGTTACACCGTCTATATGAAGATGGCCTGCAGGGCGCAAGCTCTGCACCGCCTCTCCTCCATGGCACACAGTCGAATGAATTTCCATTGTTTTATTTTGCATATATAGTCCCTGTTCAGCTCCGTGTCGCTTTTTTTTTTCCCGGCGTCTCTTGAAAACCACGCAGCCCAGTCATGCCCAGAGGCAGCGTGGGAGATAGGCGAGAGAATTGGCAATTCACAGCAGGGGTAAGAGTCAAATTCAATATTCAGCGTCTACCGCACAATGAGGTTCATTTTCTCAGCTAAGGGATGTGGCGACCTTGTCGTACCTGCTTGTCATCACCGTGGGCTTCTTCGCAACCGCCGTGCGCAAATGCAAACCATCAAGCTAAACCTAATCAGAACACATCTGGCAGGCTTCCTCATCGGATGCCGTGACTGGAGCATAACAGGGCCCCATTAAAACGTTATTAGTGTGTAAATATGCCACAGACCCCTTGCAAGAGGGGAAGCGAGGGAAAGGCTGCGCACAAACGCGATATGGCCGTTGTAATGAATTCAATTCATTGGAGTCCATTTACTAAAGTGATTGAAATCTCTTTCGCTTGACTCGAGTCAGAAGAAGGTATCTAGAGAAGATGACTATTTATGAGATTTAATAACGCGGTTTTACAGCACCTACGCTGAATAGTGTGCGCTAAAACTTGTCCGCTGATAACCGTTTTTTAAAATCTTTATCATTTTCGCTTTTCCGTAATCTGTGATTGGTTGTTGCGAGCCGCAGTTTTTATTAGTGAGCACCAATGTGTCGATTCATTTATAGGTATTTATGTACTCACATACCTAATCTTACTTCTCCCAAATAGAAAGTACAGAAGGTTGAACATCACAGTGATGGTAGTTTACTGAAAGTTTTTGGTACTTGTTATTGGTTGACTCCATTGTAATGTGACTGCTTATTCTGCCTGCTCTCTGCCATTCAATCCATGGATTCCATGTCCTGCATTGATGAGACAAGTATAAAACAACTGCATGCTAATAAGACCCCATTCACACACATGGACATGTGTTGGACTGAGCGCCAGCATACTGTATACTACTCCTGTGCATGTATTCTGGGACTGGACCTTTTTAATGGGCTTCCAATGCACATCCAATGCAGATAAAAATAAACATGACCCCTAGTAAACTACAACATATACACTACTAGACGCCTGTGCTGCATTGGAATGGGTATGTGCATTTTTTGCTGAGTGGATGCATATTTTGGGCCTATTAGAAATGAAGTGAACATGGCAACGCAACAACGTGTGCTGTAATAAGAGTGAATAGTTGTGAACAGGAGGAAAGAAAGTATAAATCTGCCATAAAAAAAACCTTAGCTTCTGTTGCTCTATTGCTGTTCTCCTTCTTCTAAACCTGGCTGCCTGCCTATCATTCCGATTTTCCAGCTTTATAGCTTTCTGAGTCATGGACCCAAAACAAGGAGGCACCCAATGAAGGCAGAGCTTACTTTCTGCATACTTGTTCCAGGTCGATGGCTCAGGAATAAGAGAAAACAGGGGATCAGTTTGATAGCAAGGTCATTGGTCTTTTCAGAAGAAAAGCAGCAGTTATTTAATGACAGGTACAGTTTAAAGTGATATATTAAAGTCAAATGGTTTTAAGTCATTTCAAATGCTGATGAAATCACTTACAATGGATGCTGCTTTCTGATGTTTTAAAGGGTAATTCACGAAGCTGCCGAAGGATCCAGCCGCAGCTTCGGCTGATCCTTCAGCTCGAAGGGCTGCTGTACTGGCTATTCACTATAGCCTGTACAGCAGCTGAAGGCGGCCGAGCGGCTCAGCCGCGCCAAAGGCATATGCATCAGCTGATATAACAAGATAAGCAGCGCTAGGAGTTCAATTAGCTGTATATCATACAGGTGGCAGTGAATTAAACCAAAATAGCGTTTCCTTAACACATTACTTACTGCAAAGTGAATGTGATGAATTTTTAGTGTATCGTGTCAACACATCAATATAAATAAATAAATATTGTGATGTAAAATACAAGCTGCTGTATTGAAGACCGCTGGGTCTGAAGAGTTTTAAACCAAATTAACAGCGCTAGTAAGTGAATCAAAAAACCATATAATCGTGTTTGTGAACTACAAATCACAAAAAATAAAATAAAGTGACGGTGAAGTGACAGCCGAAGCGGGGCTAATGGCCTGCCAAAGGCCGACCTTTCGCCCTGCAAATGACAGCCGGGCAAAGGCTGGCTCCGCACAGTTGTAATGACAGATCAGCGTCCTCCAAATGACCTAGGGATGCTGATCTGCCATTAAAAAATAACAACTGGGCGGAGCCGGCCGTGACGTCACGGCTGGCTCTGCCCAGTTGTTATTCATTGGCCAGGACCTGCTAGAAGACTCTAGACGGTGGCTTTCCAATAGGAAACAGTTGGGTGTTTTTTTTAATAAGATCTTTATTTATTTAAAAATGTAACTATTTACATTTGTAAAAAAAAATTCAACCTTTTTTTTCGACTATTTTCATAGATTTTCTATTCTGCTCAGTACCACGGAGGTACCGATCAGAATAGTCGAGCTCTGCGGCATTCGGTTATTCACTCACTGCCGTTCAGCCCCTATGTGAGTCGAAGTCTTTCTGCACTTCGGCTCAGCCGAACATGCAAAACATGTTCAGGTGACCGAAGTGCAGCCGATGTACCCCTGATTTCAGCCCATGTACGGCTAAAATCAGCCGTACTGAGCCGGAGTGAATAGCTGAACACTCCCTCCCTCTTCCTTTTTTCAAGCTAGTAAATGCACAGCTGCTGGAGACTGCTCTGTCCCTCGTGACCTTGTACTGGACAGGAAGTTCAGAGAAGTGGAGCTGAGAGAGTTGGAGCCGTTTAAACATCTGGTGACGGTAGGTGTTTGGTCAAAAATGTAAACAAACACTTTGCTGGGTGACGTATATTTGTTCTGGATTCATTACTGAAAAATACATTTGAGAGTTTAATACTACTTTAAGACAAATAGCTGAATATTTGGGATTTTACAGCAGTCAAACGGGGCACAGAGAAATATTTTGCATGGCTATGTAAAGAGGGATTTGAAAATGCATTTTCTATATTGATGTGAAACCAGCAGCTTAATGGAAATATTCCTATTTGTGCTTGTTAACATGTAAAAAACAAAAGTTTTTCTGCATGGTTTACATATATACTGTACATGGGGCGCCATATTTGCTCATTCCTTTAAAGCAGGGCTGTGCAATGATTCTGCCCTTCTGATTTTTGTATTTCTCTGCAGGACTACCAGACATTGCCTGTCTGACAAAATTAGACCTTCTGCAGTCTCTAGTAATGTGAAAAACCCACAATGCTCCTGGTAGCCAGAGACCATGTGATCTTTGCCTGGGCTTAAGTGAAGTTTGCAGGTAGACCATCCTGGCCAGGTGATGTGGAGAAGGAGGAGGGACTTATTTGTTACTGTAGAATATGTTAAAGAAAAACACCCCTGGCAAAACTTTTATTAACCCTTGCAATGGGGCTATAACTGCAAGCGTTATCTGCTCATTTTTGTCTAAGTGCTAAAAAAAGTTATACTCACCCAAACTGCTGAGCTTTTTTGCCTGCCTCTCTGGTCACTTAAGCATCTCTCTCCCTATGCTACTGCGTTGGAATCTTCCTCAATGTCCTCACAGCTATACACAGTATATAGAACGTGATGATATATGAGACCTTAGAAAGCTGCAGAGTAGGGGAAGCGAGGCTGGAAGGATTGGTCTAAGAGAAAGCTAGCTCTGTGGTTCAGGTGAGCATCACTTTTTTTTTTTTTGCACCTAGACAAAAATTAGCAGTTCACGCCTGCAGTGTGGGGATAGCCTGGGGTTGCCACCTTTTCTTCAAGTGACACCCGAACACTCTAGCGCTGAGTGCAGCTTTTTCTTTTTGGGTGAATATAGAGGAGAGACAGCCAGGGGAGGGAGTAAGGAGACCGGCTATAGAGGATTACAATTCCAGCAATACAGTATGCAACAATACAAAATATAATGAAACAACATACTCTGTATTGTACTGGGGTAGCACCCTGATGTCTACAGGGTCTCAGGTAGCCCGTGTGGGCTCTCAGGTGGGCTATGCGGGGTCTCAGGTGGCCTATGTGGGGTCTCAGTTGGGCTATGCAGGCTTTTAGGAGTGCTGTGCGGGCTGTGTGGTGTCTCACCTGGGGTCCGGAGGCGGGCAGCATGCTTTCAGAAAGATGGAGGAGGAGATGTGGGGGCAGGCCTGAGCCTGTTTACAGGCACCCACAGCTCACAGGAAGATGCAGATGCGGCTGCCTGAAGTCCCACGCTTGCTGGGGACCTGGGCAGACGCATCTGTCAAAAAATGTAAAGTGCCGGTATCAGCATTTGGTGTCTTGTGTCTGGGTGTCAGCTGGCTGGAAACTCAGACACAAGACTCAAAAACCGGAATGTCCGGGTGAATCCCGGACAGGTGGCAACCCTAGGGTAGCCACACTGCAAGGGTTAAGAAAAGTTTTGCCCAGAGTTCTTGTTTAGGTTTTCCTTGGAAATACCTGTTTATGGGGATAGTCTTCCTTGAAAGCTGGGAAGCTGCACACTGCTTGTAATATAATGCACTGATTCCAAATTACGCGCACGTAACCGCAATGTAAAGGCGTCTGCCTGTTCAAAATGCATGAATCGGCATGTGTCAATCTTCTCCCTCCATTGTCAATATTATACACGTTATTTAATGGATGAATCTGAGCATCCCTTTCTTCATCATCTCTGTTGGAGGCATCTAAGGTAGAGATAAGAGGGCCCATTACCGGGCAGGGTATGACCCCCATGGGGACTGCGGGAGGAAGCTATTAATAATGAGATTACTGAAACATGAGCGGAATATATAGACGGCCCATCTGCCGCTGTTCACCTCGCCTTGGCGTTGCGCCCGGCTGCTTTGCAGAGATGTCGTGTATAGGAAAGGCCGCAACAAAACGTTTTCCATCAAACACCTGTTTTTAACATACCATACATCGGCCCTCCAGCTGTTGTGGAACTACAAGTCCCATAAGGCATTGCAAGACTCTGACAGCCAGAGGCAGAAACATGATGGGAGTTGTATTTGCACCTCAGCTGGAGGGCCGAAATTTGGCCAGCCCTGCTTTAATGGATATTTAATAGATATTGCAGTCTGCATCTTGGTAGAAAGATGGCTCAAAGATTAAAGATTGGGGTGGAATGCATAAAAACTGAAGCAGATGGAATCTGGAACAGTTGCCCATAGCAACCAATCAGATTCTATCTTCAGTTTGTTAAGTTAAGCTATGAAAATTAAAGCTGATTGGTTACCACTGCTCGAAATTCTGTCTGCTCCAGTTTTTATGAATCCCCCCCTGTGTTGCATGTATTTTTTTTAAATTGCTCCCCGCATTTACCACCTAGTTTCTTCATCCTTCATTAGGAAGACGGATATAACAAACCACCAATAAGTACAGCTACATAGTCACTAAAAAAGAATGGAATGTATGCTCAAATGCAGCTAGTATAAATACCTGAATCTGCCTAGGTATCAGCTTCCTGTTATCTTCTGCACAGCAGCACTCAGACCGGGAGAGGGAGAAGCAGCACTAGCAGCCAACTAGACTGTGCTGCATACAATGTGCTAACAGGAGGAGAGCAGAACACTGACCTCATCAGCATGCTGCTTCTGTCCAATCAGCATGTTGGGGGGTGTGTCCAGGACCTGCTGTAGAGTTGCATTGCAGGTCCCAGGTCTGCTGTCTGGTAGGTAAAGCTTTTTAA